AGTAGTCCTAGTCTTGTCCCACACCTCTTCTGCACGTGTCCAACACATTGGAGTTTTTCTAATTCCTGCTGGCCATACGGTCAAAACTCCGTTACCTTTTTGAAGGAAGCGGAATCCCCATCTCCAAGATCTTGAAGGTATCTGAGACCCCGGGCCCTCTCTGATCTTTCTAAACTCTTCACTTCCCCCACCGCATCCATAGCCCCAGCACTGCCAGTATGGTGTGTGCGACAGATGTCGGTAAGGCGCCACTTGTCATAGTCTTCAGAGCTCGGTCCGACGTTGTGTCCTTAGGAAAAGCACTTTACACGAATTTCCCATTTGGTTCGGTCCTTTCGGAGACCGACGTTAAACTCGGAGGCCCCGCCTCTTAAATAACCTAATAGTGTTGATAGGGGCGTAAAACCTATACCATTTTTTAATAGTCTTCAGTTCTGTTTTTACGTTCACAGTACTTACAACTTTTGAAAATGTTGGAGATACCTTCGGTTTTTTTTTTATGGTAGAGAGTTTTACGGCGCTCGCGACTGCATAAGGTCATATGAGACCTTCGGTGTCCAAACATTTTCCTGTCCCAATAGAAACATCAGAAACAACTCCATGATGACTTGCGTGGCCTCGTCTTTGCCAGGTATCGTCGACCGAAACAGCGTAGTCCACAGTTTGTTCTTACCTATCAAATCGATATCAATCTGTTGTTATTTAAGGGCTTGAGTCGTCAGATCATGGTCTGCTGGTTTGTTTGTTTTAGTGATGTTTTACGGCGTTTGCAACTACACAAGGTCACATGAGCGCCAAAGATCATGCTCTTATACATGGGGTTCCACAAGGAAGATGTCACAACATAAGTCTTTTCTATCAGGTGGTGCAAATAAAAAATAAAAAACCGAGGTTGACCCTGATCACAATAAAAACATTGATGCAGAAATTGTTTTATTTTTAAAAAAGTTAAGAATCTTTGCATCCTTTTGATTCAGGTTTGTCAATGTCGGCTTAACTAAATCATCTGACCAGCTGCATGTATTTAGAAATAAGTAATATCAGTAAAATACACCACCTAATCACTACTAGGTATACTGGTTTTATAAGTTTGGTTTTGTCAAGACTTGATTCTTGTAACTCGTTGCTATCAAGAATATCTTTGGAGAAAGTGAAAAGATTTCAAACTGTCCAAAACAAGGCTACACATTTAGTTTTACAGTAAGTAAGTAAGTAAATTTATTCAGTGCTTAAGGCCATTGGCCCACATTACATCACACAAGACACTCATTTGATAAATAAAGTTTCCATAATGAATAAGTACAGGTTGTGCACATATCTCTTATCATGGGTCAAACATTGCATATTTCTGTCACTGGGCCGAGTCAGGCAAGGAGGGATTAACAATTTCCTTTGATGGACAAAGTGTGAACAATAGAAAATAACGTGAAATTCATCTTCAATTTCATGAGAGTTACATCTCTCACATAAGGACGAATTAGTTAATTTCCACCGATAGAGATTGTTATTTAATGGAATGCTCTGGGTTTTTAACAAGGCTACGACTCTTCTTCTCCAATACCGTGCGAGGTTGATGATATATACTCAGCTGTTTCTTGAAACGGAATTGTGAGAGAGAAAACATTATACTTGCGACAGACTTCCTCCTCTATGTTCTGCACAGAATGATCAACAAGTCTACTTTTTACTTAACTGAGAAAGAGTTAATTTTACAGAAAAGAAAGCGAGACCCTGCTACATCTCTTTTAACAGACACTGCACTAGCTTCCTGTTGGGAAAAGAATTATGTACGAGCTGGCCACTCTATGTCACAGATGAATGAATGATAATGCTTTATCATATTTGTTAACTCTGTTGAAACTGAACATTCCAGCTCGCAGTTAAAAGTCATAAGCTGACAAAAAGAAACGTATTTAACCAGTTGTGAAACCTAAAACGATAGGTTAAAGGGCCTTTGAATATCAAGGTCCCAATATTAAATGCCCAGGCAGTAGTTTAAGAAAAATCAAATTCTTTAATTCATTCAAATGTCACTTAAAGTCAGTTACAACGCGGCAGAATCATGCGCGCGTCAATTTTTGGGCATGTGGTACTATTGGCATAATCTTAGAACGTTTTCTTTTTTCTTGCTGTCAATCAAACAATACCCATCCATCTAGAATAGAAGCTGAAATGTTCGCGATTGAAGGAGGTGGGGGCTCCCCGGTTCAGATGTAAAAGTTCGCGAAAAGTTGGCCAATAAATTTGGGTAAATTTCATAGCATGAGAGTCTTATATATTCAAAATTATTATGTTTTGCACTTTTAATCATGTTTTTTCAGTGAAATCTACCAATTGCTTTTAATGGGTATAAAGGGTTTTAAGCCATTCCCCCCCTAAAAAGTAATTGAAACTGCCAAACATGCGGGAAAAATGCTATTTTCTTCAGTTTCACTATTTTAGCAAGAACTCGTTTTCACCGCGCTGCCTCATATTTCTGTTTTTGAATTTACAAAACCAATATTTAAATAGATATTAAATGGTCAGACCACATTGTACTGACAATAACGTTACTTCTGTTCGTGTATCGTAAAGTGTCCGGCGCCAGATATTATCACTATTATCTCTCCTTGTCCATCCTTTCATGAACGATCGTATTCACATTACTTAGTTGCAATGTAAGTGATTTAATGCTCTCACCAACCACTTGACTTCTCAGTTTTTACCACTGAGGTCCCCAGTCCAGTGGAAACACGTAAACCTGCAACCTGATACGGTCAGACTCATAGAAAACGACACTTTAGTTGTCTACATGAAATATATAT